CTCGTTAAAAAAAATAATGCGTTAATTAAATTTGTGACTGAATTCCTTGGGGGGAAATTGTATGTCTCCTGCTCTGTTTTACCCGCATTCTGCCATATATTTCATGTTATAGCAGTCTCGGATGATGACCCAGCACATGGTGTTCATTTTAAGAACGCTTTCACTGCAGATTTGACAAAACGCAAAGAAGGTATCAATGTGATATTTCTAAAGATAGCTACAAAACTCGACCCAAGGTTTAAGAATCTGAAGTGCCTTCCAAAATCGGAGAGGGTGCGGAGCATGCTTTCAGAAGTCTTAAAAGAGCAACATTCCAATGCGGAAACTACAGAACCTGAACCATCAAAAAAGAAAATCAACCTTCTGCTGGTGGCATCTGAATCAGATAATGAAAATGAAAATGAACATGTGTCGGTCTGCACTGCTTTGGATTGTTATTGAGCAGAACCCGTCATAAGCATGGATGCATGTCCCCTGGAATGGTGGTTGAAGCATGAAGGGACATGTGAATCTTTATCACATCTGACACATAAATATCTTGCGATGCTGGCCACAACAACACCTGTTCTCACTTTCAGGTAAACTGTAAACAAGAAGTGGGCAGCATTATCTCCTGCAACTGTAAACAAACTTGTTTGTCTGAGCAATTGGCTGAACAAGAAGTAGGACTGAGTGGACTTGCAGGCTCTAAAATTTTACACTGTTTTATTTTTGAATGCAGTTTTTTGTACATAATTCTACATTTGTAAGTTCAAATTTCATGATAAACGGATTGCACTACAGTACTTGTATTAGGTGAATTGAAAAATACTATTTCTTTGTTTTTTTAGAGTGCAAATACTTGTAATGAAAAATAAATATAAAATGAGCACTGTACACTTTGTATTCTATGTTGTAATTTAAATCAATACATTTGAAAATGTAGAAAACATCCACAAATATTTAAATAAATGGTACTCTATTGTTTAACAGCGTGATTAATCACAATTAGTTTTTTTTAATCGCAATTCATTTTTTTAATTGCTCGACAGCCCTAGTTTACATTGAAAAACATTTTGACATTATTAAAATGAGACTTTGATCCAAACTGACCTCCCCTCCTCTCCCCAGATCTTTGGTGCATTAAAATTTTTTTGAGATTTCAATTTTTTCATTCTGATTTGGGACAGGAAAAATATCCCGACTTTTGCATGATGGGATAGCCATTTCCAGCTCAGCTGTAGTAGCCAGCAGAAGAAACTCTACGCAACTGGAGACCAAGCTCAGTAACCATGAATAACGAGAGCCTGAAGATCATTCTCAATCCCAGGCTTCATACAGACCAATACAAGGCACTGTTGCAATACCATTCCAGTTAAGTTTCTGCCTTACTTTTAATTATTCATTACCAGTCAGAATTCCTGTAGCTTTCTTAGCAGTTATGTATTCCAGAAGCCAAACAAAGAATAACAATGAAAGAATTTGAATCCATTATTTTAGCTAAATAATTCTAAATGCCTCATTCTAAATTTTATTTAAAAATGAATATGTGAATGCAAAGTATTTTTTTTTGTTCAATTAAGTTATCACATATATATTGTGGGTAAGTCAGATATTTGCAAAAGTTTTTTCTTAAAAGTTGGAGAATAGGGCAAGTTTAAATATTCACAGATGTGAAAATGAGCATCTAAGCATTTCATTCCTCTACTGGGTAAAACAGAGCAGCTGAATTTTCATGTCTCTGGAGGGAGCATGTACCCAGATTTCATTATTCACAGGAGTCTTATATGATTCCTCAGACACTGCAATGAAAAATATATTCCCAGTTGTATTTCTTGTTAAAAAATATTTGTTAAATGGAGGTTATTTACCTGTAAGTGAGGGTACCCTCTCTGTATTCCACACATGGGTACATATGTGCCGCATGTGCCTGAGACCAGAGATTTCTAGCAAGTAGTATCTATTGGTCTGCAGTTTCTCCCCTCATGCTGTGTACCATAGGTATAAAGTGGCAGTGTAGACCAATGCCTCTCCAGTTACTCCTCTTATCCCAAAGCAGAGGAGAAGAAGGGCAGATAGTGGACTACAGATCGGGACCACAAATCTCAAAAAACCTCCAGTTCTTGGTAAGCAACTTCCACGTCTTCTCCAAGTGCAGGTTTCTATGTGTATTCAAACAGAAGTGGGGTGGAAGAAGGCAGTTGGTATAGATGTCTGTAATACTGCTGTCCCAACAGCTGCATCTGTAGATGAGGTCTGGACTAAGGTGCAGTGTTTCATGAAAGTATGGCTGGAACTCCAGGTCTTAAAAATGTCCAGATATTTTTGAAAGAAGAGATGCTATTGAGGTTGCCTGTGGTCTAGTGGAATGGGCCCTCACCCCTCCAGGGAAGGAATACACACCAACTAATAAAGCATGATACAGCTGGAGATCCACTCAGTTGCTGAGAAGATAATGCTTGATCTCATGATCATTCTACTATAGCAACAAATAGTCTAGGGCGGCATTCTCCTAATTGATTTCATTCTTTGCAGACAGAAGGCTAAAGCCCATCTGATGTTGAGAGAATTAAGTCTCCTCTTCTTGTTGGAAGCATGATGTTTTGGAAAGAATACTGGTAAGAGAATAGGTTCATGTGAAACTCAGAAATTACCATAGGGATGAATTTATGGTGGAGATGAAGGGGAACCTTCTTATGAAATGTGGAGTAAGGCAGGTCAGCCATCAGTGCGCCCAGTTCACCTACTCTTCTGGCTGATGTGAAAGTGACTAGGAAGGACAGATGGTACATTGAACACATGGGAAAAATGTACAGAGAAAGGCAATGATTAGGGATATGGAACAGCTTCCATATGAGAAAAAGATGAAAAAGACTGGGACTTTTCAGCTTAAAGTGAAGTGAATAAGGAAGTGTTATTTACCCCTTAACATAATACAAGAACCAGAGGTCACCCAATGAATTTTAATAGGTGGCGAGTTTAAAACAAACATTAACAAGTACTACTTCATACAACACACAGAACGTGTTGCCAGGGGATGTTGTGAAGGCCAAAAATATAACTGGGTTAACAAAAATTAGATAAGTTCATGAAGGATAGGTTCATCCATGACTATTAGCCAAGATGGTCAGGGACATCTGGGTGTCACTAAATCTCTGACTGCCAGAGGCTGGGACTGGATGACAGGATGGCTCACCTGATAATTGCCCTGTACCATTCATTCCCTCTGAAGCATCTGGCACTGGCCACATTCAGAAGACAAAACACTGGGCTAGATGGATGACTGGTCTGACCCAGTATGGCCATTCTTATGTGGTCAACAGTTCAAAGAGTAGTCTGGTAAGTATTGAGAGTACAAGACTGATATCCCATCGTGGTGTTTGTTTTACCACTGGCAGGAATTTCCTAATGAAACCTTTCAGGAATCTGATTTTCGTTGGGTGAGTGAAAATAGAATAGCTTTCAACCAGAGGATACATGACTCTGACTGCTGCTAAGTGGATCCTCAGTGAACGAGTGGAAAGTCCCAATGTACTGAGGGATGAGGAGGTAATTAATTCAGGAATACCTACTGTTTCTGAGGATAACTGGTTCTGTTGCATCCAAGTAGAGAAATGCCTCCATTTAGCTAGATATATTCTCTGGTGGAGGCCTCTCTGCTGTATTTGAGAACAGTTTGAACAGCCTCTGAACATCAACACTCTAGGTCTGAGGCCCATCCAAATAATATACTGTGAGTTGAAGAGGGCCTGGGTTGAGAGGTCTGATATTCTCCTGAGTGAACAGATCTGATGGGAGGACATTCATAAAAGGTCCAGAAGCCAGAACTGTCTAGGCCAGTTGTATGTGATGAGAATGAATCAAGCTTTATCATGATGGATCTTTTTTAGGACCTTTTGTACTGGTGGGAGGAAAGGTGTACATCGCTCCTGGAGTCTTGGCCTAGTGCTGCTCTGGAGCAAAATAGAATAAACATTCTGTTCCTAAGGGAGGCAAATGGTCCCAGGATAGCGTTCCCCATGAAGTGAAGATTTCATTCAAGAGAAAAATCCCACTTTTAGTCTGTGGAGAAGTGCCTGCTGAGATTGTCTGCCAAAGTGTTGTGTGCACTGGATAGATATGTTGCTGAGACTGTAGTGTGGTTCCTGATGTGCCATTTCCATGAATTGACTGGCTGTGATGGGGTGCACACACCTCAAGTGAGCCCCCCCCCTTTGGTTGAGTGTGTCCGTGCCTGCAGTTTTCTCCATTTCTCCACTCACTGTGCCCCCGTCAGCCACTGTACTTAGGCAGATCTTCGGTGACTCAGCTCTCCGGCCAAGTCACACACAGTCCATGTGCAAAACAAATAAACCCCTTCCAGGGTATAAGTCCAAAATGTCCTGCAGCTCTCCCTAGGCTCAGTCCTTTAACAGTCTAACTCAGTCCATTATGGTACCCCTCTGTTGGCAATGTTTCTGTAGCCCTCCCTGGGCTCAATCCTCAGTCTGACCAACAGGGCCTATCTCAGTACACTTGTTGGCCAGCTTACGGGTGAAGGTTCTTGCTCTGGGGTGGAGCAGCACTCCCAGGCCTTCCTCCTTGGAAGCTCTTTACCCATCCTTTAGTATTCTGACTCCAGCTCTCCAGTTAGGTCAATCTCAGTTCAGCTACTGCAGCCAGCCAGGAGCACCTTTTGCTGCCTCAATCCCTGCCAGCAGATTGAACTCACTCTGGCCCTGCAGCTCCTTTTATATGAACTTGCTGGGCCTTGATTGGTTGTGTCCCACACAGCTGCTCTATGCAGCTTGGAGGACCTCTCCACTTCCCTTTTCTGGGGCAGGGCGCAGCAGGGCTGCGAGGCTTCCAACAGCGGGCCTCAGGGCCTAGTCTACCCCGTCACATGCCTCTATTCAGAGAAGAAGAGATTGTGCTCTGCCTTGTTTCTTATATAGAAGACTATCGTCATGTTTTCAGCCACTGAGTGACTATGACAGATCTGTGTAACTGGGAGGATTGCACTACAGACTACCTTAGTTCTAGGAGAGCAATAGGCATCCTGGCCTCCATGTGCCTTGCATAGCCCTTTTGTGCTCCCCA